AAATTTAAACTAAACCCCCTCGCACACTTGGATATCACGTGTGGTCCCAAGGAAGTTTTGGCGGGGGAAAACACTATTTTGGGAACAACGAAAACTAGGGAGCTGAAATTTTGCGGTAATATTTCTTGCGTATGTGTGACGCTGAAATTTAAATTCCAGCCTCCCTGTTCGCCTGAGTATCATGTACAGCACTACGAAAATTTTCGCAAGAATCACTGCCTTCTGCATTATGAAAGGTAGGAGCCCGAAATTTTAGGAGAACGTCCCTTGCTCAAGTACGACATCGCAATTTTAAATTCAGCCTTCTCCTTAGTCTGGTTACCAGGCATTCCCCGAGGAACTTTTTGGCAGGGAAAATTATTGTCTCGGGGACCACAAAAGCTAGGAGGCTGAAAAAATTTTGAAGCTATCTCGCCTGCCCACGTACAACTCCGCAAATTTGAATTCAGCTTTCACGTAGGCCGAGTCTCACGTACGGCCCCGTGAAAGCTTTGATGAGAAAAATTATCTCGGGAGCGAGAAGAGCTGGAAGGCTGAAAACTTCATAAGGATGTTGTAAATAAAGAGTTTAATAGAAATTATGTGGAAACGTGATATGTGCCGAAAGACGAAGAGCGAGCGCTGGTTATGTCGAAGACTGTAATGGAACGGAGGATGCCTGAGATGTCTTATTGCAGCCTAAAAATTTCTCAGAATTTCTATCAGATGAGCAGCACGGAAGAAGGCAAAATCCTATCGGCAGGGCGTTTTGCTTGCCTGTAGACGTCGCGTACTAATGAGTGGTATAAACAAGGGAACAATATGAGGTAGTGAATGCCCAAAAGAGCCTGGTATTCTCCGTATATGTACAAAACAGTGCGAAAGTCTGACTTTGAGATCAGCCACAGTTGCCAAGGTTGCTTGGACTGACGCTATTATAGAAGGATGCAATTACACGTTCGGCGCAACTATATTGCTCCCTTTCAGCCCCGAGTTGCTGGAATACAGTTATAAGGCGCTAAATTTATTGCATATGCGCAGGCCGTTCCATGCGTAGCCTAACAGACTTTGCGCCTTATAAACCGTAAGCCGAGGTGAGCTTCCCAGTCACGCTATAATCCCGCTAATTAATGAAAAATACATAAAGATTCGAAATTTTTCAGCACATCCCATTAATCGTGCACGATTTTTGGAAATAGGAACCCGTAGTATTTTGGAGGAAAAGTTGCGGTCATTTTTCGCTCACTGGCGCTGCTTTCTCAACTTTTCAGTGTTTGAAAATGTGTAAAATGGCAAGCGAAATGAAGGTAGAACAAAAACGTACGTTGATATAGTCAATGTGGCTTAGCGAAAGACCGGAAGAGGTCTGATTGCTGAGCACGTAACGTGGCGTGAGCATTACAACTTGTGTATGCTTATAACGCCCAGTGCCTTGACGCACCTCCACACCAATATTGTAGATTCTGCAACGCGGTAAGTACTTTTTGTGGGTTGACGTATTTCAAAAAAAAAAGATGAGGGAAGAAAAACGAACTGTGGAGGCAGCGTCCTGTGATTGAGACGCAGAATCATCGAATGCAAGCCAACTGTAAGAGGAAACTTGGGCCCCCAACAAGGCTCGTATCCCTGATCTCTCGCATAGTTCTGGCCAATGCGCAATAAACACCTGAAAAAGCAACATCCCTGCTCTCGAAATTTTTTGGTTTTGCTTCGTAACTTGGACAAATACACAATAAACAGAGAAGCAGACTTCAAACAGAATGTATTACAGTGTCGGTTTGCCTCCCTTTATATTCCTTACTGTGTCTGTGTGACTATTTTATCCATTGTCTAACAAAAAAGCAGAATGCCTTCTCATGCTGCAGAGATCTGGTTCATTTTTCTGTGCGTATGATAACCAGCAGAAATCATTTAATAACAAATTTTAACAGTTAGAGAGTGAGCAGCCCGTCGGTCGAAGAGAGGGAGTGATGATATGTGGTTCGGTCTGACAAAGCTACGCCCGAAATGTGCTTAGATTCCAGTAAACCTCACTTTCATAGCGATGGACTGGGTTTCCTTGACTGTATACAGAACCTCTTCACTTGGGTTCTTCATCAAAATGTCACACAAATAAAAGCATTGTTCACACAATTGCGCTTATTCTGTGCTTCATTTTTAAACAAACAGGACGCTTCAAATGTAAACGCTACGACCTGTGGGACTAAATAAACGAAAGAAAACTGTGCTTATCTAATGCTGCTAAAATATGGCCTTATACATGGCAGACTCACTGTTTGGGGCAGTTATCGTTGGCGAATGAGAACATCAACGGATTGCGATCCTTGGCTCGTTCGTGCTCCTCCATCTGCCCAGCAGCAAGGCCCTCTGTCGCCTCCTGCTTGATAATCAGTGGAATACCGGACTTGTTAACAATCCAGTATGGTACCTGAAAAGCTGTTCCTCTCACACCCTAACTGATTCCATACTCTTGCTGAGTACTTATACGATTGAATTTTGATAATAAAGCTTAAGAGATGCAGGTGTCACATTGTCCAAGGCTGCAGGTAAGCTGTTAAAATCCCGAGAGCACTATTTGGAAAAATATGACAAACAAACTGGCAACTGAAAGTGTCAAGTCAGAGTGCTAACAATCAAAAACTTTAAACTTGCCCAAAGCGCCAACGAAACGGCATCAGTGCTGGCGATGCTCACGCTGCAGTACATGTCCAGGTCTCGCTTCCGCGAATCTTTCATGCGCAAGTGCAAATGATCCACATCACCTGACTTATACATCGACAAATACCTGAAAAGAAGAATCACTGCTCATCAAGCAAGCAAAAATCGTTTTATATTAAATAATTTTTTTTTTTTTGTCGCGTCCCAGTACTGCTTGGACATATACCCGTTCGAAGTGCGGTGCTGCTGCAAAATTCTAATCGATCAACTCTGGGACAACCCTTCTTGGTTATGACAGAAATCCAACGGTCTCGAAGAATCGCCAAGAGTGTGAGCTAACAAACGTACAGCAACAACGGCAATTCTTCGAAGTAACAAAGGAAAGAAGTAGGGAACTTCCACCGGACGGCTGATCAGCAGATACTGTAATATATTGAATACGACAATCATGGGAAGGTTTACAGGGCCGTAGAGAGTACGAAGGCGTGCTAGAATGAAAAGACAGCTGACCGAATTGTCAAAGCAAAAGACCAAAAATCCGAGACCGAAAACTGGAAATAATCAAGCGATATCAGAAAAAG